TGAAGGTCCTAGGCCTAGACCACACAGTAAGTAGGAAAAAACTGGCTGAATAAGGACACAGATGAGAACACATGGGAGACAAGGGGAATCTTGGGTCCCAAAAGCGAGAACAACAGGAATGAGGAGAGAAGTGAAGAAAGCGCTGGGAAAGACTACAGGGACAAGGAAGGAAAGAAAGGAAAGAGGAGAAAAACTCTCCTCTCCGTCCCAAATGCCGGAGACCTGGAAAGAAGCACGGTAGTGGAGAGAGGATAAGGAGACAAGTTGGAGACAAGTAGGAAGGTAAGTAGGGTAACACGTGGTAGAGACTGAGGGTAAGGGAATGTGACCTGAACAAAGGAAAAAAGGCAGGGAGAAACACAAGAGGCCAGGAAATCCATTCTTCCCCCAGCAGCAGCAATGGGGAGGGGATTAAGGATACACGTTGGAGGGAACAAGAAAGGGCAAGTGAGGAACCGGAGAGAATCATGTGTCCAAATAAGCACCTAGAGAGAAGAACAGCAAGAGAGAGAGAGAGAAGTAAGGGCATGAGTTGGAGAGAACAAGGGGGACAAGCACGGAGACAGACAGAGGACAAGGAGCATACTGTGCCCCGGAAGCACCCAGAGAGAACAGCCACATATGAGAGTGAAGTAGAGAGACGAGTACGAAAACAGATGGGACTTGAGTCCTGTCCCCAAACCACCAGAACGAAGAACACTGAGCAATGGAGAGAGAAGTGAGGAACGGGAGACAAGGAGATTCCTTTGACCGAAAGCACCCAGAGAGAAGAATCGCAATGGAGATAGAGAAATAAGGAGACAAGTTGGGAACAGACAAGGAGACAAGTATGGAAACAAATGGGATCAGAAAGGAGGACGGTCGCATTATACCAAAAGGTCCCTGCCACATATATATATATATATGTATATATATATGTATATATGTATATGTATATATATATATATATACATATTATATTATATATATATATTATATATATACATACATATATATATATACATATATATATATATATACATACACACATATATATATATGTATATATGCATTTGAACATCTGGATGACAATGAAAACTGAGCAGGGTGGATGGTGGATGGTCAGTTTCACGGACAGAAGGGCCCCCCAGGATCCCCCCACAGGCCGTTCCGGCCGTGCCGGAACGGGCTCCATTGGAGCCCCGGCCGGTTCCGCCGGGGGACTCGATGGATTTTCGAGGTGATCTACCCTCTGGTTATGTCAAAATAGCTATTGAACATGGTGATTTATAGTGGATTTCTCCATTGAAAATGGTGATTTATAGTGGATTTCTCCATTGAAAATGGTGATTTATAGTGGATTTCTCCATTGAAAATGGTGATTTTCCATAGTTATGGGACAGTTTACCAGAGGGTATCCGGATTTTTGGGTGAAAGTCATGAGCCAAGTGATGTCAGTCAGTGATCCCCCAAGGATTCTCATACCATACCCCCGTTTGTGGGAGAACTCATCCTTTTCATTGACTTGACTCTGCAACTCTTGGTGTTTAACATCCTGATATGGTATCCCCTCATGGTGAGATATACATCGTTCGTCCTCCATTCCCCTCTGGTAAACATAGCTATGGAAAACCACCATTTTTCATAGGTAGATCAACAATTTCTATTACCAGTTTTCAATAGCTATGTCACAAATTACCAGAGGGTGTAATCCCATGAATATCC